AGCTGGTGCTGGGGATAGACAGGGGCAGAAGAGGGCTCCCTCCTGACTCTACCTGTCTTGGTGCTGCTGTTGTCACCACGAGTGGCACTGACGGTCAGTCGGGGGAGGCTACTGGCAGCAGCACAGCCCCATGGGACTGGCTGGCCTGTCTGGTCAGTGGCACCTCAGGGTAGTTCTAAGAAGAAGCTGGGTCAGCCCCACATCAGTGAGCTTCACTAGTGAGGCTGGCAGAACCAGGCAAGGTATGCACAACAGAAAAGTGATGACTACCTCTCCCACTTTCTAGTCTGTCTTCTCACAGGTCTGACAGGATGACATGAGTCTAGTAAACACTTGTGGTCCTCAGTTGCTTTAGGCCAGTCTCACTGCTCTCACCACAGGTGCCATCCTCTAACGCGATAACTATTTCCTCTAAAGATCAGCTCTAAAGAACTCTGGTTTAAGTGTTTTGTTTGTTTTTTTAAAGTTAGGGAGAAGAAAGCCCAGGCCTTTGCACATGCAAGTACCCTACCACTGAGGTACATTCACAGGCCTTTTTATCACACTAAACTGCCAGGCTGGACTTGAACTTGCAATCCTCCTGCCTCAGCTTCCTGAGAAGCTGTATTGAACCAACCTGGCACACTGTTCTGCATTTGACTCCACCCCTTCCTGAATTATCTACTCATTTCCACATAAGTGTGATTCCCTGAAGGTCTCTTCTCATTTGCTCTCTCAACTAAATGCCTCCCTTTAAGATTTTTCCTTACAGTATCATTCTCAGGAAGCAGTAACTTTTTCGAACATCTCACTTAAAGAATCCCTAGAGATAAGAGTTGATAGAATCAACAGTGAGCAAATGAGAAACAGAATTGAAGCCACAGGGATGACTGAAGGAATCACAGGGGGGAAGAGCCTGAGGACCTGAGAAGGAAGGGAAAACCACAGGGATAGTGGGGTGACCTTGGCCCTCTGAATGTGAGGTGCTCAGCCCACACAAAACTCCACAGTCCCTCAAGATCTGAGAGTGGAGGCCTTCATTATTCTCTACCAAAATAGACGCTGCCTGTTGTATCTTTCTAGAAAGTAAGTTTAGCATATTTGGGACCCATTTTTTAGTTGTAATGCTTTAAACAGCATTCTGTGACCCAAAAGAACCTGACTGGCTAGGTTATACCAAAAGGTAATGTGGATGAATGAAAGGCTGACTAAAGGGCCTGGCCTTGGGAGCTGGCTTATTTCTCTGAAGTCCCCAAAGTCCCCCAGGGCTGCTGGAATCACAGAAGAAGTGTCCATATTTCAGCTGCTGGCTAGGGCGGCCTCAGTAATGACCTGGCATGCTTATTTCTTAAAATATTTAGAGCTGCTCTACCTCTTGAACATTTATTAAAAAACAAGGTTAGACACTTTCTCAGTTACAGGTGATGATCCTTACCCTCAACCAAGATAAGAGGGTGAAGTTTTGTTAAATCTTATTGTACTTTGCAGATCAGAGTAGAAACCCAAAGTAAAATTCTAGGAGTTACCAAATTATTAGCGTCTTCTATAGTTTTGACTCTTCAAGTGCTAACCTGATAGTAAACTATATACATATTCTACTTCTACCATGTAGTGTCTACTATCTATCCATACTCCGTGACCTGTAAGAATTAAGCAGGGGTGCATCATAAGCCTGCAGAAACAAGCCTCTCATATAGTGACTGTGGAAACACACCTCTTACTCTCTTTTCAAAGAGGCACAGCAAAGGTCTACAAATCCATCATGTTTTCTTGAATCTTTGCACCAAACTTGGCTAGTTCTGTGTCTCCTGATTTCCCTGAGGAGACATTTTTGATGGATACAATTATTATCCTCCAGAGTCAACTTGAGCCTTTAAGACAAAATAGGGCGAAGGTACACCCATTTGGGCCTAGGTACAAGGGCAGACTCATTTCTCTGGAATGTAAGAAACAAGTCTCTGAAGCACAAGACAGTAGTGTAGTGATTAATACTTTCTGGGTGGATAAACTGAATGGTGATAACTATTAACTGATCATCTCCCTTTACTGTTGATGAACTACTGATTTCCATAGCAGCAAGTACCAGGAGCCTCAGTCTCTAGATCTCACTCTGCCATTATTGGGCCAGGCTGGGGATTTGAGGGAGTAGCACTTTATGATCTTAATTTTTCATTATACTGTATTTAAAATAAAAAATATTGGTCTAGGGGTGTAGCTCAGTGTAGAACTCTTGCCTAGGATGCACAAGGTCCAAGGTTCTACTCCTAACATTGCAAAAATACTGTAAAAACAGCAGCAACTGTAGAGGGGTCCAGAAAGACTGTGTAAATGCTCTAGCATTATAAAGAGCCATGGTTTATTACAGCAACATAGCTAGAAGTCATTCTTCCCAGGCAGCGATCTTTAAAACCTTAGAAGAATTTATTTAAAAATTTTTTTTTGAAAGACTGTGGAAATCTAAACTTACAGCTATTATACAGGAGATATCAGTACTCTAGCTACGTTCTCCACAAACAATTGCAAAATTATACCTATGGTATGCTAATGGCAAGGAAAAGGGAAAGAGGACTAAAAAGATGAAAATTAGTAAAATATAAACGTTTGATCAAATGTTTTTATTTTTAATCTTTTTGTCTATTATTGTCTGAATAGTTTTTTATTTTGGTAAGAACATTTAATGTGACCTGTCCTCTTAACAAAATTTTAAATGCACAATCCGATGTTATTAACCACATGCATGGTGCTGTACAGAAGATCTCTAGAACTTACTCATCTTATGTAACTGTAACTTTACACCCCTTGACATCAACTCCCTATTCCCTGACCCTTCAGCTCTTAACTACCATTTTACTCTGTATGAGTTTGACCATTTTTGATATTTCATGTAAATGGGATCATGCAGTATTTGTCCTTCTATGACTGGTTTATTGTATTGAGCATAGTAAATTGTTTGTTAAATAGCAAAGTGAAATCTTTATGAAGCAGTTAGCTGGCTGACAGTACAGATCTTAGGCTAAAGATTTCCTGATTACAACTATACAACACAGTACTCCCCAACCACATGACATTACCCCTAAAAGTCCTTCAACAGAGAGAATGTGGCTAAGAATTTTATGATACTAGTATAATCGGGATCATCTTTTCATCACAAGCAGTCTCCTCTTGTTATCTAGTTTCTTTCAACTAAAACTAGTCATGAAAGTCAGTAATTAAAATAAGTCATTGCTAGAGAGTCCTTCACAGATTTATTTTCCATCTGCTAAACTTTCAAGATTGAACTTGCCTCTAATATATCACTGAGTTGTAAGGTGAAAATAAAATGGAAGAATCCAGGAATGCATTTAAAATAGAGGCTAGAGACTAGCAAAAGGTCGAGTGTTAGCTCTCTAAGTTTGCTAAGGGCTAGGGAAACCAGCAAGATTAGATAGGCCAAGTGGCCTACATAATAAGCAAACCGAAAAGCAAATAGATCAAATGCTTAGTGAACACAGAAACCTATGATCTCAAATAAAAGATGCACAGCAGAGAAGACAGGAGAAATTCTTCATGAAATTTATACTGATTACTAAGAAACTTTCATTTTAAAATAGGATTCGTTTGGGATGAAGAAGAAAAGCTGAGGACTTTTAACATAATATCTAAAAATAATGTAAACTATGGCCTTTTCTACTTTAAAATCAGTGTTGGAGACACTCAGAAGTAAATACAGTAGTAGCTCTAAAATAGGAGCACTGAAAAAAACAAAGGAACTCAAGAAGTCTGCAAGCGTTAAGCTGAACTACATAAAACTGCCATTTATCGGTATGTCAGAAAGTTCAAATAGCAGAGATTTCATATGGTTCAACCAAAAAAGGAGCTGCTTGTTCATTCAATGCTAAGAATAAAAATCTCAAGACATTTTAATATTTTACGGTTTCAAAGAGAGGCCAATATGTCAGAAGAGCATTACCGAAGCAGGAAAAAGGCTTTTAATAGTCTATGCCGAACTTGGGCCTCAAGTCACACAAAACTACAGTCAGTATCCACTTAAATAAGCCTAAAATTAAAATTTCCACGTATAACTATTCATTTTCTTTTTTGTCTAACACAGGACATAATCCCTGATAAAATTCTATTCCCAACAGATTTTACCATCTCTTTTGCTGGGTCCCTGAACCCCGCTATTAGAGGTAAAACTTCAAGCACAAAGTCCTTCCATGCCGACGTGCACCCCCTTGTCATTCTAATATTCATAGTCCTCTCTATTGCTCTACTTTCTTCCAGTCTTGGCACGGTGAGAGTTTCATCTGTCCATGTCAGGTTCCCCCAACCCCTTTCCTTTTAATACTCCAGTGATCTAATCTTTCCTAAGCAGAATGCAGCTACTTTTACGAGCCTTAGCCTCTGCTTTCCCAGTGAGAGCGGCTCTGTTGTATTAAACAATACATGATACATTTTGTAACATAACTTTCTACTCTTGCCACAGCCAGATCTTGGTGGCTTTCTCAAAACCACTTTCACCTGTGAGGCTTCAATAAACAGATGCCGAATTTTATAAATGGGGATTATTTTATGGGAAGAGTTCTACATATGCCCAACTCTACAAATAAAAATACATATCAATACTAGATATATTTCTGTGTGGAGGGATATTTTCTTTTTGCCACCCAAAACACAGAGTTTTCTGTGATAGTATTTCAAAGGTCTTTCTTTGAAAAACTTAACTTTCTAGACTCAGAAAGCCGGGCCATAGGGTCTGAATGACGTCCGTCACATTGTTAAATATTAGTAAAGTCATTTAGAATAATAAGGGGGGTTCATCGCACCTTCAATATTTTTTGTCAAGAAAATTTCAGAACAATGCAGGTACACTTCTGACTTTCTGCTGGGATCGCTCATTTTCCACCTTTGATTTTTTTTTGGGGGGGTTGGGGGGGCAAATGTAAAAATCTACTTGGTGATGTCACCAGAACAACAGACATAGCATTCCAATCTTTTGTAGGACCCGACCTGGCAAAACCACCCACCCTGCATTTACATACCTTGAGTTGGCTATTTCCACTTTGGTTCTCGCCATGGCGGCTGCCCTTTGCGCGCCTTCAATTGCTCTGTCCACCTTCTCCCTAGTTTTTGTATTTCTTATTGGTATAAGCTGCTTCCTTATTCCACGGACCAGAACATTATTTTTGTATTTTCCTTCTTCTTTGGAGCCATCAGGAAACACAGTGCAGCCATATCCGTGCCTCTTGTTATTTGCCCACTCGCCTTCGTACTTCATGCCGTTGGAGCGCTCGCTGATGCCGAAACCATTGCGTTTGTCGTTCTTCCACTCGCCCATGTAGGTCTCCGTGGTGGTGGCGTCCACGTGGTCTTCCACGGGGCAAAAATCACAGTCGACGTCGCCGAAGCTGATGGTGGAGTTGGCATCGCTGGAGCTAATTCTACTCATGGCCGCGTCGCTGCGGACCGAGCTGCGCTTGCTGGAGATGGAAGACTTGGATTCGGACTTGCGGAGTTTCATGCTTCCCAGGAGGGAGCCCCTGCGGAAGAGGCCGCCCTTCTTCTTGCCCGAGAGCTCGGCGTCTGCGTGGAAATTGAGCACGAAGCCTCCGCGGGTGCCGGCCGGGCTGTCGGCGGCGGCCGCGGCGTCGTGCAGGACGCTGCCGTTGCTCTGCTCACTGCGCAGCGAAGCCAGGGAAGTGCGCAGGGGCGAGCGGATCACGGTGGCCATGCCGTAGGGCACGCTCTGGCGCACGCCGTAGCCGTGCCGCATGCCTCCGGCCCACTGGCCCTGGTAGGTACCTTCGGGAGACCACGAGAAAGCACAGCGTGAGCGGAGGCGCGAGAGACACAGAGGCCTGCAACCTGGGTGCGCTGGGAAGGCGCAGGCCCACTTCCACATCATCCGCAAGGCTTACTTTTTACCCACTTGTGAATCCCCATCTGGTGATTATGGCCTTGTGGCTATACTGTAATTATGTAGGATTTCCCAGTAGTCTAATTTTTGCTTTTCATTTAAAACTTCATGCATATTTTCGGATGGCAATCACACATTCCCAATACAAAAGGAGTCATCATTAGGAAACAGCTTTCCCCCTGAAATGAGCCCATCGAAATTGCTTCTAAAGAAGGCAGTGCAAAAAAGATGAAATGAATTCTATTTCATTCTAATTTTATTAATTTAGCTTTTTAAAAAACCTGTAAAAATGTCTTTTAGGGGGCCACGTCAGTATAACATTCCAACAAGCACAAAGGCTTAAAAATATTGACAGATCTGAATAGTTCACTATGTGCTTTTTAGGGTAGGAAAAAACATTTAAAGGATTAACATTTGGATTTGAATGATAAGAGTGACCTGATAAATACAATATCTATCCTGACTCTAGTAAACCATAATGGAAAAAAAAAAGGGCAATTTAACATTGCTGTGCTTCCAAAGGAAAAGGTCAAGTTTTATATATTACTTTCTCCGGGCCACTCTCTTTATGGAATTACTCAGCATCTACTACTGCATTAAGAATCATATTACTGACTGGAAGCACCCTGAAGGCAGGAATTACTTTATTTTATTATTATTATTATTTTTTGGTACTGGGAATCAAACTCAGGACGTTGCCCTTTCCAGGAAGGTGGTGGAACCACTGAGCTAAATCCCAGGCCTGGAATTACTTTATAAACAAACACAAAATTCTCAAGCTCTCAGCCTTGAAAAAACAGAGCCAGAGGAAATCTTTCCTGTTTCTATATGGACTTTAGGTCTGAGCAAAGAGGTATTTGACAGTTTCAGGAATAGGGTATCTTTGATTTTATTTTTATTTTCAGTAAGTTCTACTAAATAAGAAACCAAAGATGTTTCAAAAATAACGTGGTACAGATTTTTAAATAATCTTCAGAAGAAATGAAGGTTAAATAGGGATTTTAGAATTTTCAAAGTTGAGGCCATTTTTTTAACTAAAGGCAAATTTTACATTGTAGTATTCCCCAAAAGCAACTATCTAGAAACTTTAAAATGTAATAATTTGGGTGTTATTCATAACTCAACAATGTCATTGAAAATAAATTATGATTATGATCTTTTTTTGATTATGGTCTATCTTAACCTTGTTCCTTTCTGATTATCTAGGTTTACTTTGCACTTTCCATTTTATATGACCACAAGCACATCTCCAATGCATGGAATGCATTACATTCAATACATTGTGCAATTATACACAGATTTCCAGGGCACAGAATATATCATTTTAAATATACTGAATAGTGCTAGTTTATGGCATTGTGTAAACAAAGGCTGATTTATTTCACCTGCACTTAAAGATAAAATTTAATGGCTCTCAAATCATGTTTTGAGAAATTCGAAGACAACTCTTTCTGTTCATTCTGAAATATTTATGCCATTATAAACAGCCAAAACTAGAGTGACAGTGAATGAAATTGTCACAATCTGGGTCTGGTACTATGAATGTCATACTGAGTAGATGTGAAGTCTTAACTTGATGTCTATGAACTTCTGAAGGGTTAGGTGAGCCACAGCTTTCTCAAGAGGATAAAACTAAAAGGCTAAGATAGTTATATAAAACATTTCAGGGTAAGAAGCTGTCTACTGAATATTAGCTATCTCTAAACACTGTCACCTCAACAGGAAAGGAAGGTGAATTATTAGGAAATTTCAACTGTGAAATTTCTTTTGCCTATATAAAATCTAAATGCTAGAGTAAAAGATATACAGCCCAACTTACACATAGTAAAACAACCTTATTTTTAATACTTTGCTTAGTTTAAAAGTGCTATAATCATCCTTAAAACTTTTCTACGTAACAAGTTTATTTTGTTAGAACAATTTGTAAAGATGCTGCTAGATAAAAGTATTTACGCTTTTTAAACATGATCATACCATCTTCCTTATAAGTGTTTATCACTGATGGAAAATTCATAGCTAGTTTCCTTAAACTGCTATCTCCAGAAGTAAGGGCAGTATTTAGAATTTTCAAAGTACTGTTTGAAAATCCAGGCTGTTTAAAGTAACAGCAATAATTAGAAAGTTGAAGTCTCTGCTTAACTTTCAGATAGGGAGGCGGATGGAGAGCAGCAACACTGGCGACATTCTCTTCCTATTTTGTTAAATTATAGTGGATAAAATAATTCTTTTATGATATTTCTAGAAATTAATTTATAGTCAAATTGTAAGTAGTTCATCTGAAATTTAAAATAGGTTTCATTCAGTCAATGAACATAAGGAAAAAAGTTGTATTTCTTTATGAAGCAGGTGGGTTCCAACTTCTTTCTGCTGCTCAGATAAAGTTGTAATTAGTTCTTCTTGATTCCTAAAATAGAGATCCATATTTCACAGGTGTAAAAATTATTTTTGGAGGTTTTGTTTTAAATTGTGTTCATCTGGAAGCTTATTTTTTATATCTAGCCCTCTTAACTGCACAATCCTGTGGTGGAAGGGATCCAATTTAGAAGGAGTTTCAAATTTGGGACTACTCTGTGTCAAATTTAAATTTATATGCTATAAATCTGCTATGTGCAAATATAAGGTTAACAAAACAGTAGGTCTATTTCAATCGTTTTATGACAACTGAAAAAACAAAGTGCAGCAGATCAGAGTTTGCACCAAAATTTTGGGCACCTACGCTTGTATTTCATGAGCATAGTACTAATTTATTCTTAATATTCAGGGGGGTTCTATTTCAGCAACACTTCACTCACAAACCACTAATAAAATGAACTGTGATACTTTTCCTTCCTCTTCCTTTAGCCTGTCACCACAAAAGACATGGAATGAGACTGTCCCTAAATCTGATTGTACAGGAATGGACATGTAGTGGTGTGGAAAATGCAAGCAAAAACAAGCTCGCTCTTTAGTAAGAATAGGGCCAAAAATCTTGTTATGAAATAAGTCATAGCAATGTACTTCCATTTAATGAGTAAGGAGATTCTAATGAAGTGACATGAGAAAAAAAAAGTTGACTAGCAGAGAGTGGACATTCAAAAGTGATTTTAAATTTTTCTTCCTCATTATAGCACACTAGTAGGGGTTTTTTTGGGTAGAAAAAGAAAACCACAGTACCATGGCATTGCCAAATTTAAGATTTTTAAGAAAAACTTGAAAACAGAAGACAGATTATTCATAAAGTCATTCTGAGGATTTACTTGTACACATAGCCAGCTTTTACTATGCTATATATATTTGGATTACCAGGTATAATGAGTACTCTGAACCAAGAGATTTTATTTAATGAGTAATAACTTTTAAAAAGTTACTTTTAACTTTACTTTTAAAAGAGTACTTTTAACCTTCCAAAACTGAACTATCCATGTTCTTAAAATATTGTAAAATGCCTGCATTAAAAAAATTTTTTGCATTCCTCTCTTGAGCATGGAATTTTTTAGAAGCTGAGGCTCCCAATAAAATCACAAACAAACATTTATAGTGCTGTCAATGAAAGCACTTTAGGCCCATTCAGAACATTTAAGGGCCCTGTCTAACTAATATTGAACTCAGGACTCAAAACAGCCTATAGAAAAGTATTAAAGTTTTTTTCTTTTTAATCCATGAGAACCATATCCTTTATTTATATTGTAGGATGAAAAGTCCTTTTTAGAAAATCCTACCATTCTGCTGTTTTGCATTTGAAACACAGCTCAAGTGTTCTAAGTGAAGTGTACAAATTGTATAAGCTTTTCTATAAGCAATAGAATAACTGAGGTTGCAGTGGGCTGGAGAAACTCTTAATTGGATCCCTTTAATACCCTCCAACTCTGAACAGCTTAATTCCAAAAGGTGACATCGCCTCCTACAATCATTTTCAATTAAATATGATTATCAGAAAATGTAACTTGCCAAAGCATAAGCCTTTCATTTCTCAGCTTTGTATACAACAAAAATTCATCAAGTTTTGACACCTGTTTCAATAATGTATATTTTCCTAACTAGAAAAAGGAACTATTATGAACACAATTTCTTTTTACAAATTTTGTTAACTATTAAAATAAGGCGATTTTTGTTCATAGCCAGGCTTACTGTTTGGGACATACACCTCAATGCAAATCAGTGATTTAGTACTACTATTCTCAGCAGCAAAGTACTGAAGCTGCTAACTTAGCAGCTACAGAAACAACATACTTTTCAACTGTATTTTTAAAAATAGTTGCCCATTTCTAAAATGTTTTCCCAGTAATTTGTCCAAAGATTCCAGATCAGTTAAGACTGCTGTTCTTTTAATCGAAAACCAGTACTTTAAGGAACCGGTTGCAAACTGGGAAGTAAAAGCCAATTCCCTGAATTCCACCTGCATCAGGTGGTCCCTCCGTGCCCAAAACTAACTAGGATGTTTCCAAATGCACACTAAATAAGGTTCAGTTCCCCAACATCCTAGTTATGGGGTTCTTGCTTCTATCTTTAGGCTACTAGAGGACCAGAAGCGAAATCCGAGACTCCACGTGAAACTAACCCGGGGAACGGTCAGCACAGACCCGCAGCCTCACAAGCCCAGATCGCTCGCTCTAACTCCACAGGAGTGGCGATTTCAAACCCGGCCGGGAGAGGGAGGGATCAGGAACGTAATGTGACGGGCTCAAGTGACAGCGTCCTCTCTCTAGCCCAACCCTCCCTGGCGGTGCTCCCTGCGGGTGGCAGCGCAGCGCTGGCCAGGTGTATTCATGCCTCGCTCCCCCTCCCCGGGCGTGGACACTGCCCGCTCCGAGAGCCGGGTCAGAGCAAACCCTTGCGCACCAGTCTCGTCCCACAGCCCCCTCCGCTGGCGGGAGGGCGCGGGAGGCCCCCAGGTGTTTTGGCGGGTTTCCGGACACGTGCGCCTCGCGTCCTCCCGCTTCCCCGCAGCCCCGGCAGAGCCCAGGGCACCGCTGGCGGAGCCGCCCGCGACGCCGCTCACCTCCGTCCCCGTAGGTCTCCACGCCGTACCCGTCCTGCAGCCCGTTACTCCAGGTACCCTCGTAGCGGGCGGGGGTGCACAGGCTCTGCCGGACCCCGTAGCGCCCCTTAAAACCATGGGACCACTCCCCCCGGTACATCCACTTGCCCTTCGTCTCCACCCCCAGCCCGTGCCTCTTGCCCTGCGCCCAGTAGCCCTGGTAGGTGTTGCCGCTGGGCCAGGTGTAGCCTCCGACCACCTCGAAGCCGTGCGACCAGGAGCCAGAGTACTCGCCCTGGCCCTTGGGCCCCGTGCAGATGCCATGCCCGTGCGCCTTGCCCTCCTCCCAGCCGCCGCAGTAGGTGCCGCCATCGTCGAAGTCGAACCTTCCGCCCGTCATTCGGGGGGCAGCCCCGGCGCGCTCCCCGCGGGGGCACGGACGCGGGCAGAGCTGGGCACGGCAGGGTGTAGCTCGGGGGTCGGGGTCCGGCGGGCGAGCTCACGACTGCGCCTCGGGCAGCTCGCGCCGCCGCTCGGCTCCAGTCCGACGCCGCCCCCGTCCTCCCCTCCTCTTTCGCCGCCGCCACCGCCGCCTTTCTCCTCCTCCTTCGCCGCCGCCGCCCCGGCCAGCGCCGCGCGCGAGAGGACAGCCCGGGCTCCCGAGCGGACCTTCAGCTGCTCTGGTCCGCCCACGTGAGCCGGGCGCCGCCCCGCGCCCGCCCCTAGTCCCCTCGTCCCCTCCCCGGGCGGCGCTCCCAGCCCGCCGGCCCTGCCCCCAGCCCCGGGCGCCGCTGCGTCCCCGGAGGGCGCGCGTGTGTTCGCGCAGCAGGGTGCGGGTGGGAGAGCGAGTGTACCCGGGGACGCGCGACCGGCACGCCTGTAGATGAAGGCGCGGCTCCTGTGTGCGGGGGCAGCTTGCGGGCGCCGGAGCCTCCTGTGTTTGGGGTTTTTCAGTTGTGGTTAAGCTCCTGTAAGTGCGGCCACGTGTGTGATGAGGGAAAACTCGTTGTATGTGTTTGCATGGGGTTTGTAGTTGCATCCCCCCACCCCTCCGCCCCGCGTTTCCAACTTGTGTCCTGTTGCATTTGTCATGCTCAGCTGTCACCATAATGTCCTCCAAATATATGTATGCGTGTGATATAAATCTGTGGCAGCCTAGATATAATTGTGCAGAATGTTCTTTTACACCTACCCATCTCAAAGCACATGTGTTTGCGTTTCTTTAAAGATACTGAGGGAGAGCAGTGCAGTTTGGAAAAGCTCAGGATAAATTGGCTAGTGTTTTATTTGTGATATGGAAGAGGTGTTAAGTCTGTCTTTGGAGGGATAGAATATTTCATTAGAGCTTGCTCCCCCTAATGCTTCATTTGTTGTCTTCACAACCTTAGAAATTCTCCAGCCTGACGCTGTGTACCCAACAGGCTCAGCCTGTGTATGTCGTAGAAGTGCCTGGAATGTACACCTGGTGCTTCTTCACTGGTATCCATGGTATAAGGAAGTAAATAGAACTTTTCAAAGGGGAATATGGTAAATAAAACATGGCGCTAAACTTACAAAGAGGCTGTGACCTATAAAACCACGGACAGGTGTCAGCTGATCCACTTTCCAGAGACAGCACGGCTTTGTTGAATTCACTTTAAACACATCGTCTAAACTTTTTTCCTCCCCTGATCCCTGAGCTGGGGATTGAACAGGGCCTAATATGTATGAGATGCTTGCCACTCTTCTAGTGAGAGATCCCTTTAGCCCCTAAAATTTTAAACTTTGATTTCACCATTTTTGGATGGAAATAACTAGCTTTGCCTTTCCCTTTGTTTGTTAAGTAATAACTGGGGATGTTATGAGTGCAGTGCTCAGCCAACAGATAGAGACTTGGTAATAGACAAGTTGAATCACTCAGTTTTGCCTCTCTGGAGAGGAAGATTTGGTCCCAGCCACACCCTCAAAATACCCATGAACCTTCTCCCAGGTTCATAGCCACTGAAGGAAACTGCCTTGCAGGGCAGTACTGTTATTTCTTAGACTGAGAGGCCTTGATTGACTGGGTGAACATCAGAGACAGCCAAAAATGTCTCACTAGGTATTTAATAAGCAGATAAAAATGTAAGGACAGGTGTCAGAAAGGCAGCAGAGGAAAAATGGATTTTACTGTACAGAAAAGGAACTGAAATTAACCTCGATTGTGTCTCTCTCAGGACTGGAGCTTGTCTTTCCTACTTATCTGTCTGAAAGACTGAAAGAAAAATCTCAGTTTACACTGAGCCAAATCACCAAAGAGAATTAGAAACCCTCATCCATGGCACTGCCCGCAGAGTTGCCAGGAATAGTGCTTACCCTAGTGGCCTGAAATAATTAGGCATCTCAGCATCTTGTCCTGGGCTGGGGATTGATTTAGGCCACTGGGAAAAGCAGAGCCTAGGGCTTTGCAGCTGAGCCATAATGCCTTTTCTCTTTTATGGGATACATCAGAATCAGGAGCTGTGCAGATAGTTACCTTCCCTCTATTCTGAGGTTCTGTGTAATAGGAGAAACAGTGTAGTTGCTCAAACTAACATTTCTTTTTCCCCTCTTTTAAAAATGGCTTTTGTCACAGAGTAGTGTTTATCTCTTTGTTTTCTTGGTTTTGGGCCCATCCAAAACATAGGACTCATATGGGACCGAGTTTCTGTGAGAACTAAGGTCTTGAAGAATCTATTTATTTTTCCTAATTAATTTTCATGCAAATGAGGGTTTTTCTGGTGCAGCACTGAGCATGTTTCTGGCTTTGGTGTTGGGTGTCTAGTCCATTTGTGGTGGAAAGGTGAAGAGTAGTATTGCACACGCATTTGGTAGAGTGTGGAGAGTTGGGTGGGATAACAGACATGGCCATTTATTTCCTAATCTTTTCCTCTGGCTAGCCCTAATAGATTTCTTCTTTAGAAAGAACCATAATTAAAAGGGAGAACCTTCAATCAGGTATGTGCTCTAAATTTTAACAAAATTTAATCCGAACCTGACTCTGCTATTGACTTTTCATGGGAGAAAGTACTGAAGTTTTGGTGTCTTACTGAGAAATTTTTGTCTAAGTAACCATACAAGCCATGCTTCCTTTTACCAGCTGCCATCTTGATGGAGTGTTCCCCTGTCACATAGCTGTATTCCTTAATATATGTGTTCAGTTGCAGTGGCCATGGCCGGACCAGGGAGGAGAACTAGGATGAGGTAGAGGTGTTGACAATGATGGCATAGCAGTTAGTAGGCAGTGGAATAATGTTGCAGTTTAATAGTCAGGGTTAGTAATGTCCTTATTTTCCCTCTTACTCTGAACCTTTGGCCTGGATAAGGGGGAGTTGAATTTAGCTTTAAGAAGAGATTAGTAAGAAGAGAATGTGAATGTTGGTTTGACAGGTGGAATGGGGGAGGTAAGAGGAGCCCAGGGGCCGGCACCACTCTAGCAGTTTGTTTTCTTCCATGCTCAAAACCAGTTATTATATGTTTCCATTCTGAAGCAAACAGTAAGCCACTTTCAATGTAAAGTCATTAACAATGTGTTTATAAGAATGTTTTACTTAGACTTAATGATACTATATTTTCTAAATTAAGGTGCATTTAAAAACTTATTGGTGACTTCATTTTATTTATGTATTAGAATTAATTGTTGAGAATTTATAGTGAAAAACTTACAAATGACCAAAATGCTAATTATGTGTTTATTATTTGAATTTAAAGACACATATAATTAAAGCCACTTGTTTATAATTCAAAATGATTACTACTTGGCTTATAAAATCAAATGATCAAAATAATTTGAGTATTTGTAATAATTCAGGCATTTATAAAAATTTAAGAAATTTGCCCATAAAAATACAGAAACTAAGAAATGTGATTTTATGCTTCACCACATGAAATCAGAAGGAAGTTCTAGAATTAATGTTCTTTCTATCTTTCAAGGCAACTACAGGGTGCTAAATTCTTTGTATGTGTTCATATAAATTTCATAAGAACTATCTGTGATTAGTACTAGCATTATAACCATTAAAGAAGAAGAAAATAAGGATCAGGATGTATTTGTGCCCAGGATCACTCAAAGTAGAAATGGTTGAACCCATTCAAACCCATGTTTGCATGACCCTAATTACTGTTCTTTTTTGAATTGAGGATGAGAGCATCTTGAGCACTTGCAAACAGGAGTAAAAAGCAGTCCAGGAGAGGGCAATAAGAGGTGGTAAAGATGATTTTGTTTCTTATGCTTTTAGAATAGCTGCCTTGGTGAATAGTAATGCTACTGCCTACAATTTTAAAAACAAAATGAGGGGAAGAAGAGTAAATTACAGGGTTGGGGAAGATATATTCAATTAGAAGAGGATGATCCTGAAATGTATACCAGGGCTGGGATGTTGCTAGGCATTTGCCTAGCACGTGTGAGGCCCTTGGTTCAGTCCCCAGTACCACATAACAAAAGCAACAACATAAACATAAACCCCAGAAATAGCCAGAAGCAGAGACAATCAGTAGGCAGTTAGGTAATAGAAGCAAAAAATGAAACATAAGTAAGCCAATAAGAAAATAACTCATTTTTCTCTTCTTAATAATGACTCTTGGAGACCTGAACTCCTCAATTGTGCCATTGGTGGCCTGCTTTCATTGGCATCTTCTCTAGGTCCCTATTCCACCTTGTTCCCAGACTGGTGGCTCATCTACTCCTTTGTACAGTGTCCCCTGCACATTGTCCTAGAAAGCTTCATCTTGCCTTTCCCTACTTCATGATCTTAAAATTCACTTCCTCAAACACAGTCTGGAGCTTGCTTTGAACCAGGTGTAGGTAACTTCTGAAAACTGGAACTTTACAATTCCACACATCAACAGCATTTTCTCATCTTTCCTATTATCCCTGAACAAACCATGTACTCTTATCAAAGTCAGCACTCTTTTGTTGCCGTCTCTATTCTTTTGGCTCTTTCCTACCCTGTTTGGAGGCCTTTGTGAGTCATTTCCATTACACTGTCTGTGGTACTCAATCTCCTTTTCATAGTGGCCTGATGGTGCATCTGTCTGCCAGTCTCTAATCCTAAACCATCACTTCTCATTCTTGGCCCTATGAACTCCTTTTTGGAGACATTCACATTATTTACCAGTTGCTACTGCAGAGTACCTTGACTTCTCCCTCACAGAGGAAAGAAGCAACATATGGGAACACCTTCTTTTTATTCTTAAAAACTTAGTTTTGTGTCAGCTTTCTGTCATTGTGTAACAAATGGCTGAGAAAATCAACTTATAAGGAGAAAAGATTTATTTTGCCTTTTGGTTTCAGAAATTTCAGTCCATGGTTATTTGTCCCTGTTGCTCTTGGGCCTGCAGAACATCATGGTGAGGAGTGTGTGGTGGAAAAATTACTTGCCTTCGGGTGGACTGGTGTAAAGAGAGAGAAATGGGCAAGGGTTCCATTATTCTCATCAACCTAACTTCCTTTCTGTAGGCCCAATCTACTGAAGGTTCCATCATCTCCTAAAAGTGCCATAGGCAGGGAACCAAGTTTAGCATATGGGCCATTGGGGGACATTTAAGATCCAAACCATAACAACATTGTTCTTGTTGTCTTATTCTATTCCTTATTCTCCTCACAACCCCCCCCCCCCCCCCCCC